GAGAGAGAGAGAGAGAGAGAGAGAGAAATAATGAAGGAAGAGAGGGAGAGAGAGAGAGAGAAAGAAGCAAACCAATTAGCTGACTTCATGACCTAGTCGTTAAGGGAGCTGGATCCCACATGGATGACTTTGGTTCAAATCCCAGCCCTGGCAGCTTGAAAAACATGCTGAGCACATGTGTGTGCTCAAAATGCAAAAAGGATAGAGAAATGGAAGAGAAGCAACTTCCGTGTGACTATACCCCATTGAAGGTTGCTTTCTCTCTCTTTCTGTATCTCACTCTCTCCTTCTCTGGAGCCCATACTCCCTCTGGCAATGAAAAAGAAAGAAAGAAGAGAAAAAGAGAGGAGAGGGGGGAGGAAGAAAGAAAAGAAAAACAAGGGCCAGGAGATGGCATGGCTGTTAAGGCATTGAACTCCCACATGGCCGACCATGGTTTGAGTCCTAGACCTGGTGGCTTGAAAATCACACCAGGTGCATATGTGTGTGTGCCTAAAATCCCAGGAGGAGAATGGAGAAAAGGAGATCTTGACATGGCTATCACCCTGGGGAGCAATTTCTCACTCCCCCTCCCCCCCCCCAGCGAATACATGAGCCCTATAGCAAAACCCTAAATTAAAAAGAAAGAAAGAGAGAGCGAGAGAGAGAGAGAGAGAGAGAGAAAAGAAAAGAAAAAAGGAAAGAAAAGAAAGAAAGAGAGGGAGGGAGGGAGGGAGGGAGGAAAGAAGGAGGAAGGAAAGAAGGAAGGAAGGAAGGAGGAAGGAAGGAAGGAAGGAGGAAGGAAGGAAGGAAGGAAGGAAGGAAGGAAGGAAGGAAGGAAGGAAGGAAGATTACAGATATTAAAGCAAGGATCTTTGACCAAAGTCAAGCTTCAGTGCCAACAACTCCACTTAATGGGCTGGCTACGGGTAGACTTACTTATCCCCATATGCACTCATCAGGTTGTTTTAACAACTACTGTGTGTCCCGTGCAAGGCACCAACAACTAGAGCGCAAAATAAGGTCTTTGTGCTGCGTGACACTGCTCCATCCTGAGAGCAGTGCCCGCCCGTTGCCTGCCATGTGCGACTGTGCATGGCTGAGTCGGGATGCCGTAAGGTGAGGGCTGTCCCCAGATCTGACTGTGCACCCCTGCTCCCTCCAGACCCCAGCCCGGTGCCCTCGTCCTCCAGCACCTACCACGCCATCATCGGAGGGATCGTGGCTTTTATCGTCTTCCTGCTGCTCATCCTGCTCATCTTCCTCGGCCACTACTTGATCCGGCACAAAGGTCAGAGGCAGGAGAGGAGCATCCAGAGAACATAGGAGGGGCAAGGGACGTTAATCAAGGGCAGGCAGGGGGAGAAGGCTACTGGAAGGGTCTTTGGAGACTCTGCCAGCCCCTCTCAGTGCTCGAGAGGAAAACCATGCAGCCAGCCCTGCAGAAAAGCCTGTCACTTGCTGATCATCCACGGCAAATCAAACCTTCCCACTCAGCTCTGCGCCCGGGCTCCACTGCCTCTGGGGTCCCCGCTAGGTCCTGGGCTGCCTCTGCACTCACTCCTATCTGCGTAGCATCACCTCCCTTCCTTCGCCTTTGATTTCCTTCCTCCTCATCCCTGCGCCATCTCATCTCTTCTCTCTCCTCTCTCGCTCTTCTTTAAACCTCCCCTCTGTGTCCACGCCATCTCTCTCTCACCTTTGCTGCATCCTTCCACTCAGATTTCCTGCACTGTCACCATGTCTAGCTCGCAGCCCCACTGCGATCTGGTTACGCAGAAGCCATATCTCGGCGGCATTGCTCATGACACCGACGTGGCCATTCCCCCATCGCCACCTTGCACACGCGCACGCACCTTATTACTAATGTTTTTGCCTGTGTTATAGATGAGGGCCTAATTAAGGGGAGGATACATTATTCATGTGGGGGTGTGGTCAGGGGAGAGAAGTTGGCAGCAAACGCAAATGAGGTAAGGTGGGGTGGAAGAAAGCTCTAGGCAAGAGGAGACTGCCCCTAGCCATGTGCACGTGGGCGGTGGTAACCTGGGCAGGGGCCTGGGGTCGGGAAACTGCTCCTGAAAGGAGGAGCCTCTGTCTCCACACAGGAACCTACCTGACACACGAGGCCAAGGGCTCCGACGATGCCCCGGACGCGGACACCGCCATCATCAATGCAGAAGGCGGGCAGTCAGGCGGGGATGACAAGAAGGAATATTTCATCTAGGGGCGCCCGCCCACCTTCTGCGCCCCCCAGGGGCCCCGTGGGGACTGCTGGGGCCGTCACCAACCCGGACTTGTACAGAGCGACCCCAGGGCCGCCCCTCCCGCTTGCTCCCCAGCCCGCCCACCCCCCTGTACAGAATGTCTGCTTTGGGTGCGGTTTTGTACTCGGTTTGGAATGGGGAGGGAGGAGGGCGGGGGGGAGGGGAGGGGTGCCCTCAGCCCTTTCCGTGGCTTCTCTGCGTTTGGGTTATTATTATTTTTGTAACAATCCCAAATCAAATCCGTCTCCAGGCTGGAGAGGCAGGAGCCCTGGGGTGAGGAAGGCAGAAAATACTGGAGTGTTAGGAGGAGAGCAGAAGTGAGGGGAGGAAGAGCAGGGCCGCTCTGGAGGTGGGGGTCCTCACCAGGCCTCTCCCCATCCACTCGCGACAGCGGAGCAGCTCCCCGACTTCTCCAGGAACCCAGCAGCAGAGGGTCCTGAGCTGGGGCTGAGGTGGCTCTTCCTCTGCCAGCCATGCACCTCAAGCTACGGACAGGAAGGCAGGTGCCACCCTGACACCCCCTTCCATCGCAGCGGGACGGGGTAAACGGGGGAGCCCTAAGGAGAAGTGACCTGCAGATGGCACGCAGCCACGCAGGACCCAGGGCTGCAACGTGGGAGGAACGTGGGTGCCTGCGAGGAAGAGTAGGCTTGGAGAGGAGGATGGGGAGATGCCCCCGGCCATGAATGAAGCCAGGGCCTTTCACAAGAAGCTCCCTTGGGGGAGAGCAGGGCACGCCGCCCCTCCTCGCCCCAGGAGCTGCAGGAGAGGTGCTGCTCTGGGCCTGAACTGCATCTGCTTCCCCTGCGAGGGGCCCTCCCGCTCGCCCACGCCCCCTGGACTGTTGCACGGCAACCACTCCTCCCATGGCCTTGCTCAGCAGCTCCTTCTCCCCCCTCGTGCCACCCGTGTCCTCTTCCCATTCCCCATGCCAGCCCTCGGTCCTTCCTCCCTCAGCAGCCAGGCAGACACAACGACAAAAATACTAAAAGGAGCTTCACTGCACTGAGCTGTTTCCTGCCCAAACTAAGGGAATAATGTGAACCTGCGTGCACGTGTACTGTGTGTGTACGTGTCTGTGCCTGTGAACGTGTGTGTGTGTGAGAGTGAGAGAGGCAGAGGGAGGGTCTGAGAAGGAGGGCCGAGGGTCAGGGGTCCCGGCAGGTGGACGGGGCTGTGGGTATGCGCAGGAGGGCTTTGGGATGGACGATTCCTGGTCCGGGCTCGTACCTCACCTGGGCTGCTGCAGCCCGGTATTCTCCATGCCACCCCCGATGCCCATCTGTTTGGAGAAAGGAGTCCAGGTTGGGTTTTGCTCAGCCCGACTCATCTCCCCCTGCCACGCAGCGCATCCGCCCTCCCCTGACCACCCTCCGAGCCACGGAGCCAGTGCCACAGCCTTCGCTATGCACCTCCGGCCTCCCCCTGGCACTGCCCCTGGGGTGACCCAAGTCACATCTTTTCCCAGTCTGTGTGCACCCAGTGAGTCGAGGGCTGCTTTTGGTTTTTGGTCTTCCTTCTCTGGCCCTAGCTGGTTGCCGTGGAGATGAGGTTGCACACCCTCCCTGTCCAACCAGCCCGCCCCGCCTCAGACCCAGGATGCACTTGGCATCTCGCACCCTTCTCCAGCATGTCCTCACTGCCCTGACGACGGGCGTGTGGAGCGGGGCGGCTGCCACCAGCAAGTCTGCCCACCCCCTTCAGTTCAGGTAAAACCGTTGCGAACCTTCCATCTGCTGGCTAGGGCCCTGGGCACCGCAGGCAGCCCCTCACCGGAGCCAGGGCCCCCTCCTCTTACAGCAGCAAGGGAACCTGGGGCCCCGGACTCGGGCTCCTTGTCTCCCAGCACCCGCTTTTGGGAAAATGACTTTTCCTCTTCGAGCTGAACCACTCTGTCCATATTACACAGAAGCCATATTTGTACGGGGGGCGGGGGGCAAAGGGCCGTTGTGCTGTGTGTGTCTGTCCGTGGGTGGGTGGGGGACGGGAGCAGGGAGGGGCCGTGTATCTTTATAATCTTTCTAACTCTCCTGTGCTAATCTCAGAGGGGCCACCCTCAATATATCTGGATTATCCGTGTCATTCGGCTGCCTCCTTTCTGCTCTCGCTGCCGCTGGGATGCTTGGCTATAAGGGCTCTACTCGTATCCCTGGCACCCGGCACCTCAAGGGGGGGCATGTCCCGTGCCATGCCTCCATGCCGCCGCCCCAAGGGCATCCGTGTATGGAAACAATATAACTCTCCAAAGAAGATAAGTGTGTTCAGCCCCTTTTGCTGGGCCCTTGATTTCCCAAGTGTTCGGGTCGGGGCATCTGACTACTCCCCTGCCCTCCACCAGGTGGGACTGAAGGTGGACACGGAGGTGGAGCACCGTCAGCAGCACTGGAGGGCTTCGGGGAACCTCCGCCACCCTCACTTTCTAGCCCCGCTCATGTTGAACTGACACGTGAGCTGGTGTCACCGAGAAAGGGGGACAGGCCTGCGAGGCGCTCGTCCTTTTGCACTCAGACTGGGTTGCTTTGCCCCGAACATCCTTCTGTGAACAGTCCTTGCCAGCGGGGGCTTAAAACATCCATGCTTTCTCGAACGCTGAGCAGTCTCCCCATCAGCCCTCAAGATCTCATTGTTCTGACCTGAACACTCCATGGCTTACCCCTCCCTAGATCCAGGCTCTGTCTCCCCAGCTGGGCAGAAAACACACACACAGAGGTGACAGAGCAGCAGCGATACTCAGAGAGCAGCTGGGGAAAGGGACAACCGAAGAGAAGAGGCATTGGCTTAGGAGCAGCTGCCTGCAGGATAGATAGATATCCTGTCTTGCTGCTGGCCGAAGAGAAACGGCAGCTCTGCCCCCCGTAAGAACGTAGCATATTGCTAAGATGCCAGACCAGCGAAGCAGTTCCAGAGCCTTCATGTCCCCCAACAGATATATGAATAGAGATTACCCAGTGGGCAACAGTCCCATTTTAAAATATGCCGTCCATTGTCCCCCAGAGCCCACTTTAACTTGTCAGACCATGTGTTGTGCTTCGTATAGAAAAGGCGTTCCCTGTGCCCATAGGTGGGAAGGCAAATGCCCAATCACTCCCTGAAGCAGCTTCATTACGCAGCCCTGACAGCCACCCGAGAGCCTCCCTCCTCTCAGACGGAAACCCAGGCCTAGAGACAGCAGCACACACAGATACCGCCTAGCACAGCCATGTGCACACTGACATGCATGCACATGCACACACAGCAAGAACCTTCTCCTACATGCAAGGAGCCCATGCACACACACCCCTCTCATATTAGACAGACCCAGCCATGGGCACCTCTGACACGTCTTCCACCAACACAGTGCCTTTTTTATTTTTAGTTTTTCATCATTTTTATTGCTGTTATGATTGTCTTAAAGTTTATCTCGTCCATGAGCAAGAGAGGCAGAGAGAAAGACAGGAAGAGGACTCCCGGCAGGACCTTGATCCTGCAGTTCACCTCCAGCCTCGGCCAGCCCCGTGTGCCTGCCATCCTCAGGGAGGTCTCCGGAGGCAAACCTGGAACCTTCCCGTGTGGAGCAGCCTCGTGGAGGAGGGCTGCATTGTCGGTGGTGCCGATGAGAGCTTTTTTGGAACCGGTGTTCCTTGGATCAGGTTCAAGGGGATGGGGGAGCAGTGAGAGTCTTCAGTCGCCCTTTCACCCCAGTTTCCCAGATCTGCTCTTATCTCTGCCTCACAAGCCACCCCTGACCCCCTCTTCCTTCCTTGTCTTGAAAAAGCTCTACTTTCTGGAAAGCCCCAGTATTTCACCTTTGGGAAAAAAGCCCACTTTTGGGTCCCCACCTTTTTCCTTTCCTGAGTGTAGCCCCCACAAGGCAGATCCTACCTCAAAACAGGAAGCCCCAGGCCAGTGCCCCAGGCAGGCCTGAGGATTAGGCGGGCAGTGGGTGTGGGGCAAGGGCTTCCGGAATGCAGCCCCGCCCCTGTGACCCTCTCTGGTCCTGGGCACTTATCTTGGAAGCACAGCCTCTGACAGCCGCCCCAGCCCTCTGCCCGTCCTGAGCCCAGCAGTGCCATGGGGAACTGTCTGCAGCCGGTGAGTGTGGGCGCCAGGCCCCACAGCCCCTCACCCCTTTGCCCCGCTCCCTATTCTGTCTGCCCCTCAGGCCTTTGCGCTCTTGCTCTTCTCTCCTCATCTTCTATTCCTTCCCCTCCTTTTTCTCATTTAAAAACACCTCCTTCCCTCCTCCTCTACCATCTCCCAGCTCCCGGTGCAGGTCACACCTTCCCTTCCCTCTGACCTCCTGCCCCTCCAGTCCCTTCCACCATCCTCCCCTGGCTTTCCGGATTGACGCTTCATCCCTGGACAGGCTCCCTGCTCTGTCCTTCCTCACCACCCCCACAGCCCCATTCTCCCCACCCATGCTCCCGCTGTGTCCTCCCCTCCTCCCACCATCCCCACAGCTCCCAGGAGCCTCTTAGCGTGGTCACCAGGTGCTCTGATGGCTCCCTCTGGTCTGTCCTCCAGGTGAGGCCCTCTGTGTCCAGTGGCGAGAATGTAAGTCAGCTCGACTTGGAAAACTATTCCTGGAATTACTCCTCTGACGATAACAGTTCTGGCCCATGGGTGGACTACGACAACCCCGACCTGGCGGCAGCTGCCCCCTGCCACTCCTGCAGCCTGCTCGATGACTCCTCGCTGCCCTTCTTCATCCTCTGCAGTGTCCTGGGCATCCTGGCTAGTGGAGCAGTCCTCTTCGTGTTTCTCAGACCTCTGTTCCACTGGCGGCTCTGCCCTGGCTGGCCTGTCCTGGTGCAGATGGCTGTGGGCAGCGCCCTGTTCAGTATTGTGGTGCCGATCCTGGCACGAGGGCACAGCAGTGCCCACAGCACCGCTCTCTGCAGCCTGGGCTATGGGACCTGGTATGGGTCAGCCTTTGCCCAGGCTCTGCTGATAGCATGCCATGCCTGCCTGGCCCCCAAACAGGGTGCAGGCCAGGTCTCAGGCCACACCCTGTGGCTCACTGTGGGGCTTTGGGGAATGGCCGCACTGTTAGGATTGCCCATAGCCCTGGACAGCAACTCTTCTCAAGGACGTTGCACCGTGACTTCCAGCTGGGACCTGGAGCCTTTGCATCACACACACATTGTGGTCTGTTTTGCCGTCTTCGTCTTGTTGCCGCTGGGTTTGCTGGGAGCCAAGGGGCTGATGACAGCACTGGGCAGGGGGCCAGGACCTTCTGTTGGTATCTTGTGGATCTGGTTTATTTTCTGGTGGCCTCATGGGGTGCTTCTGGTGGTGGACTCCCTAGTGAGGGCCAGAGTCTTACTGTTGCAGACGTGTCTGGCCCAGCAGGCTCTGGACGTGCTGCTGCACCTGGCTGAAGCTCTGGCAATACTGCACTGCGTGGCTGGGCCCCTGCTCCTGGCCCTGTTCTGCCACCGGGCCACCCGCACTTCCTTTTCCTCCCAGCCTCTCCCTGCAAGATGGTCTCATCAAGACACTCTTGGAGGCAAATCCTAGCTCTCTTCCCACCTGTCAACCTCAATTAAAGTCTATACTGCTTTTGTGAAGTGAGTGGTTTTTTATTTTGTGTGGGGATAGAGAGGAAAAGAAGAATGGAGAGGGAGACATTTCACACCAGCCTCTTCTGCCAGCTTCTTTTTCTAGCTGGTCTGGGAGAAAGGGAATGACGTGCCCACATCCTGGGGCACACAGATGTTCTCTTGAAGTGTGAGGTTACTGCCATCTCAAGGGGAAAGAGGAGAGATTTCACGACATACGTGGAAGTGAAAGCCAAGAACTGGAAGCATTGGCTAAGGAAGAAGAGAAGCTGTTACTGAGAGTAAGTAGAATAGGAATAGAAGCTGGGGAGAGAAAAAGAGCCGTGGAGATAGAGCCCCGGGCAACGTCGCCTCTCCCCGTCTGAGCTACTCAGCCTCCCTCTCTTTTTCCTCTCCCCTTTGGCTTAGGGATGGGGTGGTGGTGGGGAGAGTGGAAGGAGCATCCTGGAGAACGCCACTTAGTTCAAAGAACGTACCAAATATTTTGAAAAGCCACTTCCTGGAAGTCATCTCTCCCGGTATCGCAGCAAGACACTACTTCCTGTGGGTGTTTCTCTGTGTCTTGGTCTGTCAGAACCCATATCTTTGTTAGATGTATGCATACAATAGCATGTGTCCACGCGTGCTTGCATCTGGACCGGTGTCTGGATCACACATCCCTGTGTGTGTATGTGCGCTGGCCTTTCTCACGGGCCCTCCCCCACTTCATGCTGCCCCACTCCTGTTCTGAGATGCTGGAATCAGGATTTATGACTCACTCCTTAACCCAAATGCGTTTTCTTCACCCTGGTTTTTATGCCTACTTTTTTCTCCTGTAAGAATTATAGACAGAAGGAAAGATCAAGAAGTTGTGATGGGGGAGGGAGAGGCACTTAAAGGGGGAGACCTTGATCTAATTCATCTTCTGGCTTGGAATCCCCTGAATTTCCCTTTCAAATCTCAGCTTTTAAAATAAACTTTTCTCCCCACAAACATCTTTCCTTCCACCTTCCACACTATAGCCCAATATCTTGGGCACCTCTTTTCCAAATATGCCCTCCATTTGCTGGCTGCTTCACTGTGATCATGGAGGCTTTTTCTCAGTCTCTAGTCAACCAGGTGTTGGTGATGATGGGGAGGACAAAGGCGGGGGGTCCCTCATTTTAAGGGGCACAATTTCTACTGCCAACAACAAACTCACCCTTCACCAAAGAGGCCACCAAAAAAATGAAAAAGGGTTTCTCCTTCCAACCCACCAAAGGCCAGGGAAGCTGGAGCAGGCACTTTGCATTGGTTTGAATCCAATTGCAATCTTACCATTTTTCAAAGGTGTACTATATCTGACTTCTCCCCTAAAATGTTTCTGCTTGGCTCTCTGGGTTTGGGGATACCCAGGAGGGGGGGGGAGGAAGGGGGGGGGGTTTGGATGGTCTTGGGGGAGGGAGAGGCACTTAAAGGGGGAGACCTTGATCTAATTCATCTTCTGGCTTGGAATCCCCTGAATTTCCCTTTCAAATCTCAGCTTTTAAAATAAACTTTTCTCCCCACAAACATCTTTCCTTCCACCTTCCACACTATAGCCCAATATCTTGGGCACCTCTTTTCCAAATATGCCCTCCATTTGCTGGCTGCTTCACTGTGATCATGGAGGCTTTTTCTCAGTCTCTAGTCAACCAGGTGTTGGTGATGATGGGGAGGACAAAGGCGGGGGGTCCCTCATTTTAAGGGGCACAATTTCTACTGCCAACAACAAACTCACCCTTCACCAAAGAGGCCACCAAAAAAATGAAAAAGGGTTTCTCCTTCCAACCCACCAAAGGCCAGGGAAGCTGGAGCAGGCACTTTGCATTGGTTTGAATCCAATTGCAATCTTACCATTTTTCAAAGGTGTACTATATCTGACTTCTCCCCTAAAATGTTTCTGCTTGGCTCTCTGGGTTTGGGGATACCCAGGAGGGGGGGGGAGGAAGAGGGATGAGTTAGAATGTCCTTAGCAGGGGGATGTGAAAGGCTTGGGGAGTTTTCCTGGGTGGGCGCCTTGACAAAGCCTCTAAATCTCCCACCTCTGTCTCTTAGCAACTACAAGGTTAGCTCCTGATTGGTGTATTGTAAATTGAAAGGCGGGCTATAAGGACCAATTGAGATGCGGGAGATGTTCTGAAACAGAAGGGGAGAAAAAAAATGAAGAAAAGGGAAAGAATTTACAAAGCTAAATGATGCTCAGGTCTCCAAAAGCACAGTTCATGAATGTGCCCTAGTGTTTTCTTTTTCTATTTCCTTTCCAGTCTCCTCTCCAGATCTCCCCCTCCAGCCTTCCACCACTGCCTCAGTCCTTCCAGAGGTTGCCCCTCTCCCTTCAAGGCACTGGATTTGCAAACTGACCTCTGGGAGAGGGGAGAGAGGGTGTGTTTGACTCAGTGAATCTTCCAGTGTCAACCTGATGCAAGAGAGGCTTAATTTAAGACCACCAGGGTTGTCCTATCTACCCTACCGCGGGCCTCCAGATAGAAATCCCTCCTCATTCAGTCCAGCTGGAGAGAACCCCCCGACTCCTGGCAATAGCTCAGTGCCTATCTCATCCCTCACAAAGAAAGGCAGAGGCAGAAGCCTGCAGCTGATAACAGGTCAGAGTGGGTTGGAGACAGCAACCCCACTGTTATCTCCTCCCTATTCCCACCCCTGCCAGCTCTGCCCTCGTCCCTTCAGGGGCTGGCCTTTCCCTGCTATTATCTATGCTGCAGGTGGAGTGTCTTCCTTAAGACTAACTGAGACCTCAGTTATTTCTTTACAGCTTTACTGGGGACCTGCTACCCACGTCCCTTTAACCCACTGCGTGCCACCCACCACTCCAAACTCGGTCCGAGTCGAGTCTGGTGTCCTTTCCACAACCCTTTAGGAATACAAATCTTTTTTCCTTAGAACCCTTAAGAATTTAATCTTAGGGTTGGCAGGGACTTTAGCTCTGTATGAGTTATTGGCCCTTCTAGCTAAAGAAAAAATCCTCTCAGGGAGATGAGAGTCAGGGAGACAAGCTCTTGGGAACACATAAAGCCCTGAGGAGGGTCAATTTGCATTGCTTCTTTGAAGGGAAAGACTTGCTTCTTGAAGGAAGCTTGAACATCATATTCATGCTCATAGCTCATTTCTTGCAGACTGGGACCCCTCCTGGAGGAGTTGCGAAACAAATGTCCTGGACTTATACCCGTTCGTCCACCCCTGTCTCCCTGTCCCCCAACCTCATCAGCACTGTCCTCCTGGAGCCACCCTCAGAGGAATCCTGATTGAGGACTTCACTGGGATTTCTAACCCAATTCATCTCCCACTCTAATTGCCAGGGATTTGCATGAAAACCATCGTATGCTATCTAATTATTCTGACAACAGCAGCCCGCCGTCTGGGCACAAGGAGAATCGGGTTTTAATTAACAATAATGCACCTTGCAGACGAATGTGACTGTTTAGGTTAATTAACAAGTCCAAGTCCTTCCAAATCATCTCTAGACATCTTCTAGGTGATTTGGGCAGGAGGGCTGTAGGGCATGCATGCAATGGGGGTGTTTAGAAATCAGTTGAGCCAAAGATGCGCTAGTTTTCATCTTTCTTCTAACTATCTGGTGAAGCAAAGGAACAATCCCCAAGACACGCCTTTAGAAAACTGATTGGGGAAAATTCGGTGACATGGCTTTGGGAAGTTATACCAAACATCGTCACGCCACATTCAGATTTAGGGCATCTTTTAAATGTATATTTATACATGACAGGATTGAGTCCTCCTACTTCTCTAATGTATTGTCTAGGTGTTGGCAAACTTAGATTCTAGCATGAAAGGCTCAACTTTCTCATCACTGCTGGTTCACGCCTTTTCCTACCACGTGTGAGGACAAAGATGCCTCCTCCTACTGATCTCCCAGAAAATGTGTCTCCTTCCACCCTTGCCCTCCTCAAGGGTAATTGTTTGTGCTTTTTTCCTGAGTAGAACATAGTTTCTTGTTTCCTTTCTGTTTCTCTGTCTCTCCGGTGAGTGCACATGCCCTATAGCAACAATCTCTCTCAAAAGAAAATGAAAGTAAATAGAGTTGAGACCAGTTGGTGCTATGGTGGTTAAGGCACTAGACTCCCACATGGATGCTCCCAGTTCAAGTCCCGGAACTGGTGGCTTGATAAATCACGTCGGGCAGGCATGCTTGTGTGCCCAAACTCTCAGGAGGAAAATGGAGGAAAAGGGACTGTGGCATGGCAATCCCCCCAGGGTGGAGGGTGATTTCTCATTTTCCCTCTCACCGTCTGGTGACTGCACATGCCCTACAGCAAAAGCCTTTTTTTAAAAAGTAAACCAAGTCATAATAAAACGTGAAACAGTTTATTTGAGTAAGCAGCTCATGAATTGCAAAACACCAGACTGAAAGAGCTTAAGTGTTCCAATAACAAATCGTCAAAGACAAATATTTATTGGGAAAATGCAGAGGCAAAATGATTGGTTTGTAATTGAAAAATTGCCCTCTTTTAGGACCGTGTTGAAAAGTCCCTCATCATCCAGTTGTATTTATGATTGGCTGGGATTAATTTTTATTTCTAACATCAGCATTTACCAGAAATGACTGAAGTTTTGCTATGTTTGCAAGCCAAAAACAATGTTGAGATCACTTTTGTGGCCTAACTGGTTTTGTCTGCTCAGCAACTTTTTTTTAAAAGAATCATTTCATTTTAGGTTTATTTATTTATTTTAATTTGACCAGAGAGGGACAGAGAGACAGAGACAGAGAGAGAGAGAGAGAAAGAGAGAGAGAGAAAGTGAGAAAGCAAGCTGCTAGGTCCGGGACTCAAACCGCAGTCAGCTATGTGGGAGTCCAGCACCCTTCACCACGGCACCTGCCGGTCCCTTCAGGGACTTTTCAAGCCTGGTCTTCCTTCTCATTTACTTTAGCACTTACCATCTCTTCCTTCCTGAATTTTCATTCTACCCTGTGCCTTTACACGACCACAAGAACCTTCTCAACCTTGGAGCTTTAGGGCAAATATCTCGCAGACTCA